CATTATCCATATGAGCATGTCTTAGGATAACTTATCATTGTTTTTACAGATCAGTACAAAACTTTATGATTTGATTCTATGAAGACAAGCTCTTTTCAATTTTGACTATTTTCTGATTTGTCATCCAGAGTGAAATGATACATTCAACAATTTAGAGTACACCTCATAATGGCTCAATTTTGCTTTATTAGATCTTTATAAAAAATTGTACTATGTTTGCATCAGAAAAGCTATTATTTCAATTCTAAAGAATTTCAGATTTAATGGATCCATAAAAATAATATGGGATGGGATTTCCACAATTTAAAGTCTGATAATTATGATCTTGTCTTTAGTTATTATGACTGCAGTTTTCTTTAACAGATTTTTATGCAATTCTTACACAATGTTAAGGTCTGTGAATAAAAGCCCCTTTTCAATACTGATGATTTTTCAAATTGTGGGTCAAAAATTATCCGCCTTATTCAAAATATAGCACAATGTTGGCGTGTCTTACACAATGACCAGCTTATCCCATGAAATTTAATATACAACCAAAAAATGCTACCTCCATTTCATTTTTTTTTTCTTCATATTTTCTATTCTGAAATTGTGACTTTAGCTTAACAAGAATATGTGTCCATAGGATACGATGCACACCTCACACTATATTTATGCTCTGAACTATCAAATCAGGATCAAAACCCTTATTTCTGATATAATATTCAAAGTTTATATCTTAATGAACACGCATACCAAGTTCAAAGTCGATGTGACCACAACTTGACTGTAAACTACCTTGATCAAAAACTTTGATCTCTTACCTGCTTGCACTATGTTTCTATGTTAAGTGAACAGTGAAATCATGGTTATAATTTAAAATGTTCACATCATAATGAAATGTAAAACATAATGCCCCTTCTATCATAGGTGGATGGGGCATACATTGTAGGCGGTTCATGAAAAGGAGGATGGGTGTGTCTTGGGCTCATGGAGCAGCTGTTTTATCAACTAAAGTTAAAGGACCTGAAATAATCACAATGAGAGTTTATGGGAATATCTACCTGTCATAAACCATGTAAGGTTTAAAGTTTTATATATACACACTGTACCAATACAATATTGCATGGTCATAACAGAAAGTCAACAATATATCAAACAATCCTTGAAACAATTCAAACTATTGCCATTTTCAGTGGTGTGTATTATCTAGACTTCATTCAAATTATTGACAATAAACTACCAACAAAAAAAAATAATGGAAAAATATTCTGGCATTACGGAATGGAAAAAATTATACATTAAACCAGTTCTTGGCAAGATGACATTTTTATTATTGCTATTAGATATGCTTCTGAGAGCAAACCCTGCCGTGCCTATTGAAAATAGTTAAATTACAAGAAAAAGCAGCAATTTTTTTGGTTGGAGAGTAATCATTGTGCACAATTCTGAATACATCACATGACAATATCTGCATTTTGTTTAAATGATAGTCGACAAGCAGACTTAGAAATTATAATTCTAAACAGGAATGAACTGAGATTCATGTGGTCTAGGTCAGGTGTAATTTACAATAAAATGCTTCGCTGGGCGCAGCTTGATACGACCGCAGAGGTCGAACCCTGAACAGTTGGGGCAAGTATGGACACAACATTCAAGCTTGATACAGCTCTGAATTTGGATTGTGATTAAATATTTGACACAGCATAGGTTTCTGACACAGAAAGAATGTGGTCTAAGAACTTCAATTTTTTTAATTTACCTATTATGGTCCAATGTCCAAAATCAAAATACATGGTTAGATTCAGCATATCAAAGAACCCCATATATTCAATTTTTGTTGAAATCAAAAAAAGTTTAATTTTGAACCCCAAGTTGGACAAACTTGAAAACGGGGCCATAATCAAAAATCTAAACACATGTTTAGATTCAGCATATCAAAGTACCCCAAGAATTCAATTTTTGTTATAATCAAACTTAGTTTAATTTTGGACCCTTTGGACCTTAATGTAGACCAATTTAAAAATGGGACCCAAAATTAAAAATCTAAAAACACGGTTAGATTTGGCATATCAAAGAACCCCATATATTCAATTTTTGATGAAATCAAACAAAGTTTAATTTTGGACCCTTTTGACCTCAATATGAACCAATTTGATAGCGGGCCCACAAATAAAAAATCTAAATACATGGTAAGATTCAGCATATCAAAGAACCCCATATATTCAATTTTTGCTGAAATCAAACAAAGTTTAATTTTGGACCCAAATTTGGACCAACTTGAAAACTGGGCCAAAAATCTAAAATCTAAATACATGTTTAGATTCAGCATATCAAAGAACCCCATATATTCAATTTTTGTTGAAATCAAACAAAGTTTAATTTTGGACCCCAACTTGGACCAACTTGAAAACTGGGCCCATTATCAAAAATCTAAACACATGTTTAGATTCAGCATATCAAAGAACCCCAAGAATTCAATTTTTGTTAAATTCAAACTAAGTTTAATTTTGGACCCTTTTGACCTCAATGTGGACAAAGTTGATAACGGGGCCCAAAAATCAAAAATCTAAATACATGGCTAGATTCAGCATATCAAAGAACCCCATATATTCAATTTTTGTTGAAATCAAACAAAGTTTAATTTTGGACCCCAATTTGGACCAACTTGAAAACTGGGCCAAAAATAAAAAATCTAAATACATGTTTAGATTCAGCATATCAAAGAACCCCATATATTCAATTTTTGTTAAAATCAAACAAAGTTTAATTTTGGACCCTTTGGACCTTAATGTAGACCAATTTGAAAACTGGACCCAAAATTAAAAATCTAAATACACGGTTAGATTCGGCATAAGAAATAAATAAATGTGGTCAAAGATTTTACAAATCTAATGCGCCATACTGTGCAATTAAAGATTACTTCTTGAAATTTTTCAATATTTGAAATTTGAAAAAATAAAATGCTCCGCAGGGCGCAGCTTGATACGACCGCAGAGGTCGAACCCTGAACAGTTGGGGGAAGTATGGACACAACATTCAAGCTTGATACAGCTTTGGATTTGGATTGTGATTAAATATTTGACACAGCATAGGTTTCTAACACAGATTGAATGTGGTCTAAGAACTTAAATATTTTAAATTGGACATTCACCTATTATGGTCCAATATCCAAAATCTAAATACATGGTTAGATTCAGCATATCAAAGAACCCCATATATTCAATTTTTGTTGAAATCAAACAAAGTTTAATTTTGGACCCCGATTTGGACCAACTTGAAAACTGGGCCCATAATCAAAAATCTAAATACATGTTTAGATTCAGCATATCAAAGAACCCTAAGAATTCAATTTTTGTTAAAATCAAACTAAGTTTAATTTTGGACCCTTTGGACCTTAATGTAGACCAATTTGAAAACGGAACCAAAAATTAAGAATCTAAATACACGGTTAGATTCGGCATATCAAAGAACCCCAATAATTCAATTTTTGATGAAATCAAACAAAGTTTAATTTTGGACCCTTTTGACCTCAATGTGGACAAAGTTGATAACGGGGCCCAAAAATCAAAAATCTAAATACATGGTTAGTTTCAGCATATCAAAGAACCCCATATATTCAATTTTTGTTGAAATCAAACAAAGTTTAATTTTGGACCCCGATTTGGACCAACTTGAAAACTGGGCCCATAATCAAAAATCTAAATACATGTTTAGATTCAGCATATCAAAGAACCCTAAGAATTCAATTTTTGTTAAAATCAAACTAAGTTTAATTTTGGACCCTTTGGACCTTAATGTAGACCAATTTGAAAACGGAACCAAAATTTAAGAATCTAAATACACAGTTAGATTCGGCATATCAAAGAACCCCAATAATTCAATTTTTGATGAAATCAAACAAAGTTTAATTTTGGACTCTTTGGACCTCAATGTGGACCAATTTAAAAACGGGGCCCAAAATCCAAAAACTAAATACACGGTTAGATTCAGCATATCAAAGAACCCCATGAAATCAAGAATAAAACCCCATTGAAATTGGTCAAGAAATAAGCAATTTATAGGAAGTATCTTCTTTTGCACAATCCTGTGCTATTAAATATTTCTTGCTATTGCGCAATACTGTACAATTGACAATTTCTTGCTATTGCGCAATATTGTGCTATTGGATATTTCTTGCTATTGCGCAATACTGTGCAATTGAAGATTTCTTGCTATTGCGCAATACTGTGCAATTGAAGATTTCTTGCTATTGTGCAATACTGTGCAATTGAAAATTTCTTGCTATTGCACAATACTTATTATATAATAATTTACACATCCTGTTTGGTGTGTATCTCCTACCATATCATTATTATTTGATTTTAAATATAAATCAGAAATAACCAACTTAAAATGGAAAATTTTAAAAGAAACAAAAAAGGAAAAAAAGAAAAAAAAGGAAAAAAAAATAAATCCCCCCCCAAAATTTTTTGAACCCCCATTATGATTCATCACCCCCAAACTCAATCCCAGCCTTCCCTTTGTGGTATGGTACCTTGCAGTACAATTTCAGAGAGATCCATACACTTGAACACAAGTTATTGTCTGGAAACTAAAAAAAAATGTGTTTTTTGGCCCCTTTTTGGCCCCAAATTCCTAAACGTTTAGGGCAATTACCCCCAAACTCAAACCCAGCTTTCCCTTTGTGATATGGAACCTTGTAGTACAATTTCAGAAAGATCCATACACTTACACACAAGTTATTGTCATGAAACTAGAAAAATGCTTGTTTTTTGCCCCTTTTTTGGCCCCTAATTCCTAAAATTTGGAGGCAATTACCCCCAAAATCAATCCCAGCATTCCTTTAGTGATATGGAACCTTGTGGTACAATGTCAGAGAGATCCATACACTAACACACAAGTTATGTCTGGAAGTTACAAAAATGCTTATTTTTGGCCCCTTTTTGGCCCCTAATTCCTTTACTGTTATTACCATAACCCCCAAAATCAATCCCAACCTTCCTTTTGTGGTATTGAACCTTGTGGTAAAATTTCATAAAGATCCATTCACTTAAACTAAAGTTAGAGTGCGAAAACCAATGTGTCTTCGGACGACGCAGGACGACGACGACGACGACGACGACGCCAACGTCATACCAATATACGACCACAAAAATTTTTTTGCGGTCGTATAAAAATAATATTTGAAAAATAATTCTTTTTAATTTCTGAAATCTGAAATGAGAAAAAATTGACCCCCACAATTTCTTTAAACCCCCCCCCCCCCCTTTTTTCCCCCAAAAAATTCTTTCCCTCAAGATATGGTCATAATATCTCAATTCAAATTTCCAATGGAGTTTGCAACCATAATTACCCATTTAAATTTACCATAGTGCTAACTTAATCTATTTTATAATAGAATTTAAAATATAGTGTCAAATCTTTCATATGGATTTTGTTGTAAAAAAGATGCAACATTTGCAGATATTTTTACTGGTCTTCCTTTATAAATATGCATTTCTTTAAACATAATTTAAAAGCAGTGTAAGGGAAGTAACCAAAACGTTGTATTTGGATTACCTCCCTTACACTGTTTAAAATTATCTTAATTGTTCATTAACCATTACTTTATACATAATTTAAAAGCAGTGTAAGGGAGATAATTTCAATGATGTATTTGATTTATCATCCTTACACTGCTTTAAATTATGTTTTGTACTAAAGTATTTGTCCATTAACCAGGACAACCTTGTTTTTCCCCCTTTTTTGCCCCTAATTCTTAAACGGTTTGAGCCATAACCCCCAAAGCAAATCCTAACCATCCCTTTGTGGTATGGAAACTTGTAGTATAATTTCAGAGAGATCCATACACCGTTCCACAGTTATTGTCTGGAAACTAGAAAATGCTTATTTTTTGCCCCTTTTTGGCCCCTAATTCCTTAACTGTTGGTACCATAACCCCCAAAATCAATCCCCACCTTCCTTTTGTGGTATTGAACCTTATGGTAAAATTTCATAGAGATCCATTCACTTAAACTAAAGTTAGAGTGCGAAAACTAATGCGTCTTCGGACGACGACGCTGGACGACGACGACGACGCCAACGTCATACCAATATACGACCACAAAAACTTTTTTGCGGTCGTATAAAAATGATTTTACAAATTTATTGAAATATTTAGAGAAGGAAGCCAGATAACGAGAATAGCAACAAATTTCAGAGCAAAAAACTACATGTAATCTACATGTACTAAAGTTAACTACTTAAGGTCTAGAAAATGAAATATGAAAAGAAAGCATTTCAATATTTATAAATTTATAATCAAACTGTACTTTGTCAAAATTCTTTTATATGTTAGTTGAATTGTAAATGAACATCTAAATGATCTCTCTAACCTATCACTACACATATTCTAGGTAGGTACTATTTCCTGTTCTTGAATCTAAACAGGACTGAAAGCTGAATGTTGCATACCCAAAAACATTCTGAGATATGCATTTACCTAAATTATGTAAGAGTAAAAAGTGGTTCAAACTTAACAATATTTTCATAAAAAATCAACATCATATTCAACCATAATTTTATAGTATAGCTGAACTTAAAAATCTCACTAAAAGTATTATTTTTCTTATTCTCATCACCAAATACATGGGTACAGAGAAGGTTTTTAATTCAAAATATGGATTTAAATATCGTGATTAAAGAGTAAAATAAAATAGAAACTTAAAGCAATTGGACCTTTCCATAAATCAAACTTGCTGAGAGAGCAAAATAAAGAAAATGGAACAATGCAAAAACAAGAATTTCTAATGTGTACCGGTTGATAACAATGAAAATCTTAACAAGTCACTTATTACTATATATAAGTTTAGTCAACAATAACAAGCCACTATATTAGGTATACATGGCACATTTCTCTACTATATTGATCATGGATGGGGCACAAATTTGATTTCAATGTTTTTTCTTTCTTCGTCTTGTTTTCTTCCCTTGAGCTGAAGGCTGGCTTGGTTGTGAAGGCTGTGGAGGTTGCCATTGTGTACTGCCCTCTGTATGCATTGCTTGTTGGAACAGATTATTGATAAAGTCCTCCAAGTCTGCTTCACTGTTAAAACATTACAAAACATAGTATGAAAGTTTAATTTATTGTTATTTTCATCTCATACATTCTAAAATCATAGCAAAGTATTTCCAAATCTATCCATATATAATTTGAAATTCACATTTTCTCCTTTCAATAACAAATATATTTCCAGGTCAACAAGCTGAAAAGGAATTTTTTCATAATTAAGCTTAAACATGTTCAAAGCAATTTTCATGAAAATAAGCCTGACTTCATAAAATTTTGTGGAAAATTAAAATTCATGTTGTGTTAATTTGACTTCATAAAAAGAAAGCTGATCAACAAATCTAAAAAAAAAGTTGTTTCCTGACTAATCTTTGTTTCAACTATGATACACTGTGATAACAGGGACCACATCAGGGTCCTATCAAACTTCTATCTCTAATGTTTTCCTATGAAAAGTCCCCATCTAAACCAACCCTATTCCAAACTGAATATTCTGTTCAGGCTAGAAATGTGTGCAGTTCACAAAAGTAATATTTACTAAAGAAAATTGGCTGTATGTCCCAACATATTAAAGTTATGAAAGGTTTGCTGTTTATTCAGGTTCAATTTAGACAGGTTTAACTGTATCTCAATACTGTTTTTTTTGTATGTTTTGTGATCTTTAAAACAATTATAAGGCAATAAATGATAATTTTTATGGAAGACTTCACTATAACTGTTTAATCTTACAGGGTTATCTTTAAGGTGAAGGAAGGAAGGTCATCACAGATTATCTTATTATATAAGTATTCAACTTAAAATTGAAGAAAACGACTTGCATGGTGTAACATAATGACTCCAAGCACCCTGGTTGTCTCATGATAGTGTACTCAATTTGAGTGGAGGATATAGTGGGTTCAATTCCAACCCAATAGATTAGAGTTAGCTACAGATGAGAACAATACAAAAACAAATAATAAATAAATTGCTTCGCTGAGCGCAGCCAGTGATATTGTTTGCCTCAAATTACATCCGAAATTCCTGCTTTTTCCCCTAGAGAAAATTCCCAATTACAAAAAAAAATGGCTTAAAATTCCTCCCAATAAGTTTGACATTTTTCCCAAAAGTGATGGCATTGGTATTAATGAATGTAAATTTCGGATTCATGTTCATTATTTTGATATTATGAAAGCGCTTTTGAGATCCAGGTTTCTGATCAGAATCATCACGGTGTTTGTAACACATGTGGTTTTCAATGCATTAAGTACCATCATTGTTTCCATCTCTTTACCCTCCCCTAAAAGTACCTTTCAGGTTAATTGTCTGACAATCAAAATATACGTGATAAAACTGTGCAGAAAAGACAGTAAAGTTTAGCAAAAAATCGGAGTTGTGTTTAAAAAAAAAATAAACCAACTTCCCAATTTCAATAAAAATTATGCATTTTCCCCCAAAAAAAACAGTAGAGGTAGTTTTGAAAAAAGACAACAATATCACTGGCAGCTGTATACGACCGCAGATGTCCAACCCCTTTCCCTTATTCCAAAAAATAATTCTTTCCCTCAAGTTATGGTCAGTATCTCCAGTGTTCTCCCCAGGCCGTTATAGCGTCGCGGTACCGCGACGCTATATTTTTTCCCGTGATGCTATAATAATTTCCGCGACGCTATAATTATTTTGAGGATGCTATTTTTCTTGTTTCTATATCGTAAATCCATGTCCTAAATTTTGAACTTTCATCTAATTACCGCATATGATCATAAAAATTATATCACCTTTAAGTGTAATCCCTTCAAATCGGACAATAGAGGCATTTAAGAGTGATTAAATAGGTGTTAATTGCCCTTTGGGTGATAACTGTTTGGATACGAATACCCCAAGCTGACATGATTAATACCACGTGGTCTGTCTGCAATCGCAAATTAAGACATGGAAAAAATGTAATCATAAAACAATTCGAAATCTACGTTTTGCATTACGGAAATTCAAAGATACAAACGATTTTTCTCTTTAAAAATGAGGTTTAGTCGTTTATTTTTACAACTTTCATAAAATTACTTTCTTTCTCTTCCGCCGGTACTACTTGTTAATCGAGAGCGAACATATCAGTTTTGGGCTAAATAAGTTGGCTTAAGTTTATGTTTCATCCATTTAATACATCAAAAGCGTCACATTCGTTCCCAATCTCTTGTCAAACATTGTTTATTTTCGTTAATTTTTCTTTAACCGCCATTGACTATTTTTGTGTAAACTACCGATCGGAACCGGACCAGATATGACAAAAATCCGCATTTTTACGATAATAACTACAGATGCACAAATGGCACAGCAGACAGAAAAAAATATACCAAAAAGAGAAAACTATGCATTAACAGACTATTTGTTAGATAACTTTGTTAAAAATATCCATCACCTTGATATAAAGAAACAACTGGGACTAATCCATTGAGTACCATGAAACAATGAATTTTTAGACATGAAAATTTTTTTTTTAATTGAAATTTTATTGCTATATGATACTTTCTCTTTTTACACTTGATATTTAGTATTGTATATATATAAAGGTTGCACTATAATAAACCATTCACTCATTCATTTAGTTGGGTAGGTAGGGTAACTAGAACCAGAGACATATTGTATTATATGTCTCTGCTAGAACCACACATATATTGTTATATGGCCCAAGAGGAAAACAATAATTCTGTACAGTAACTATAAATGAATATAGAAAACATAAACTGAAACAACTGTTATCATGGTTATATTTTAATTGTATTATAATTAATATAAACATATATACCATAAAGGAAATAGAGCATCACCGCGACGCGACAAATGACATTGAAAAAAATACAGTTTATTTTTTTTACGCCAAATGTGATGCTATCCAAAATATCTGGGGAGAACACTGATCTCAGACAATCATCATTTCTTAATATATAATTTACAAGCAGTGTAAGGCAGGTAATCAAACATTATTATTTAAATTGATTTTGATTGTGATTTGGATTACCTCCCTTGCACTGCTTCGAAATTGTCTCAATTGTGTTTTAACCAGAAAAACCCTTGTTTTTCCCCTTTTTTTGCCCCTAATTCCTAAATGGTTTGAGCCATAACCCCCCAAAGTCAATCCTAACCATCCCTTTGTAGTATGGAAACTTGTGGTATAATTTCAGAGAGATTCATACACTTTAACACAAGTTATTGTCTTGAAATTACAAAAATGCTTATTTGGGCCCCTTTTTTGGCCCCTAATTCCTAAACAGTTGGGACCATAACCCCCAAAATCAATCCCAACCTTCCTTTAATGGTTATAAACCTTGTGTTAAAATTGTATTGATTTCTATCTACTTATACTAAAGTTATTATCCGGAAACCATCTGTCTTCGGACGACGCTGACAACGACGACAACAACGTGATACCAATATACGACCAAAAAATTTTTAATTTTTGCGGTCGTATTAAAATCAACAGCAGATACTTTTAATAAACTTTTTTACTTCCTGTGCTGAAATTTATGCAGAGTTGAAGAATGGTGCAAAATGAATAATACGTTCATCAATACTAAAAAAACAAAATGTTTGGTTACTGGAACAAGTCAGAAGTTATCAACTCCATCTTTTCAACCAAATTTACAAATAAATTCAGAAACACTACACAATTCATCATGTGAAAAATAATTAGGTGTTAAAAATTGACAGCACACTTAGCTGGACAAATCAAATTGATCAAATTTGTGCTTGCATTTCATCAAGAATATACCTTCTTTCTAAATTAAAGAAATTTTTAGATATTAATGCCAGGAAAGCATATTATAATGGGTATATTCTGCCGCTCATCGATTATTGCTGTATTGTTTGGGGAGAATGTAAAAATGAAGGGATAATAAGAATATTAAAACTTCAAAAAAGAGCAGCAAGATTAATTCTTGATGCAGACCCTTTATCCCCATCAGCCCCCTTATTTAAAGAACTTGGATGAATGATAGTAGAAAACAGAATCAAATACCACAAATATTTACTCCTATATAAATGTATGCGGAAAGAAGCACCACAGTACCTACTTCAAAAGTTTCAACTTATATCTGTTAATAATCCTTATGCTTTAAGGGGTGTTACTCAAGGTAATTTGATAATTCCTAAGCCAAAAACTGAACTGTTTAAAAAATCTTTTGCTTATTCTGGATCAGTTTTATGGAACGGACTACCATATGAAATGCGCAAAGTGCAAAACACTTTTTCTTTTAAACAAATTATAAAACGATACTTGAGGCAGTCCCAATATTCAATATTCAGTCTTGAAATGATTACAACTATTACTTTTTTAGAATGTATGATTTTGATTTGTATGTAACTGTTTTATATGTTCTAATGGTACATGTACACTGAACTATCATGACTATACCATTGTGTTTAATATGTTGTATGTTTGCTTTTTTTTTTTTTTTTTTCTTTCTCTTATTATTTTTTTTACTTGTATTGTATATGAGGGCCTCAGGGAAGATTAGTACTTGTAACTAACTGTGTTTACCCTCTTTAAATAAATAATTTATTATTATTATTATTATTATTATTATTGATTTTAATATTTGCTGCTCTCTATCAGGCACTTTGAATACGAAGCAAAGAGCAACAACTGGGCAGCTTTTAGCCTAGGTAGGGTGACATATCTTCCAAAAAGGACTGTTCACTTGTTTGCTGCTATGTTGAAAATCTGAGTCACCATGTCCGTATGGCAAAAGCAGGGTATATGATATTTACATGTTATTGTCCTGAAAATGCATTGCATATTTTCTAACTGGAAAGCACAAATTGATCAAGACTGTCATTTTTTTTTAATAAGAACAGCAATACTGTAAATTCACATGTACATTTAAGCCATATACCTCCTACATGTTGAACAAATCCAACTGAATATATACACATAATACATACCCAGTCCTGCCTTGCTGTGCACCTCCTCTGTTTCCTTCTGTGGCTATTCTATAGAACACATGGTGGGCACTAGCCTGCATATGTTTAAAGAAATCTTTCTACAATGAAAAAAAAAAGACTTTAACAACTAGGCACATTTTCATATTTTAGGACACTAGAATAAGTGTTAATAAAATTTAAATGATTTCTTATTTTCAGCTTTCTACATATAACTTCATTCATAATTAGCATAAACTAACTTGCACAACAACACTAATTAACCATCACCTTAAACTAACTTGTACAACAACACTAATTAACCATCAACATAAACTAACTTGTACAACAACACTAATTAACCATCACCATAAACTAACTTGTACAACAACACTAATTAACCATCACCTTTAACTAACTTGTACAACACCACTAATTAACCATCACCTTAAACTAACTTGTACAACAACACTAATTAACCATCACCATAAACTAATTTGTACAACAACACTAATTAACCATCAACATAAACTAACTTGTACAACAACACTAATTAACCATCACCTGAAACTAACTTGTACAACAACACTAATTAACCATCAACATAAACTAACTTGTACAACAACACTAATTAACCATCACCATCATTTAACATGAACAAAATATTGCACAAGTAAGTGATAATTCAAATCTTCCTAATCAAAGTTCAAACATTTACCAGAATAAGTGCCAAGTCATTGGAAACTTATTTTTACAGAAAAGTGGCAGTAATTACTCAATAAAAAAAGTTGCTTATCTAATGTTTAAAACTAATAATTACCTTACAAGCAACCCATTCAGTTATATCATATATTTTTCCTTCCATACATGCATAGTAATGCCATAGGAAACCAAACATTGTTGTCTCAGCCCAAACATCACCCTGTGAAAATTAAACATGTATCAACAATATATATTCTTTATTGATATAGTAACTGAGGTATACTTATTGAAAAACATCATTAAATTCAGCTTAGATTGATTTCACATTCTAACTCTACAACAGTAAATGACTTGCTGCCCAAATTCAAACTCTGTCTGCATGTTGTGATTCTTAGCACTGTGTATAAGTTTTATTAAACTTGCATGAGGCAAACTTATGTTAGGCTGGCTGCTAATTTTGTTGTCAGAGTCCAAAATTTGGAGAGTCAGCATTTCTTTAGAGCAATTTTATTTGTATTAAGAGTGCATGTCTCATTAATGTCTAATGAGCCACAAAATTTAGATCAAGGTCACCTTGCAATCATTCTATACACCAAATACAGATGGCACATTACTTATAGTATTTGAAAAACAAGACCAATACCAGATCTAATCTGTGTCGCTGCAAGCAATTGATTATGGTCAAATGTACATTGAAGCATAACTGATCATTCCCTTTCATTGAAGACAAGAAAATTTTGACAAAAACTTTCCTTGAACAATAAGTGTTGTAAAATTTCAAACTCAACATTATCAAGCAGCAGTCCAGATTTAAAATCATTCTCTTGCATAGAAGCCAAGAAAAGTTTGACAAAAGTTTTCTTCTCAAGATCTTTCAGACAGGCAGAATGACTGACAGAGTTGAGCCATTACTAGACCTGCTTTGGCAGTTGGAAATGCAGGTACGAACCACAGACCTTATAATAGAGATCAATGAACAATGAAAATGATTCCAACTTCAAACAAACCTTTTAAGACAGGCATGAACTCGTTACAAATATTTTCTGATTCAAATATAGATGACCTATTGATGTAAGAGAAACTGACTTGGTAAAAAATAATGATTACTGAACAAAGAAATGAGGCCAACAGGTAAACCTGAATCAGTTTAAATCAAATGTTAACATTTTAAAACCAATTCCTTACATAATTCTGGCATATTTATATCTAAAATTAACCAAATCACAATCTTTAACAAGTAAACTATGCAAAAGTTTCAAAGTCATAGACCAAGACAGAGGGATTGGGTCAAATGATTTCAATAGAAATGAGATTTGCCAATGCTAAATACAAATGCATATCAAATATCAGTCACTCAACATTAGTGGCTTAATTAAATGACATAATAACAAATTTTAACAATTTTTTACACTGCCAACACCTGGAAACAGCATCCCTAAGACTTGCTTCCTTGACATTCGTTGCAAGTGAGACCAAAACTGAAAAATTCATGAGACACAAGATATGGATTATCCAACTCATCTACCTTCTGCATCGGGTCAGAATGGGGACATTAAATCTGAAGACTCGTGTAGAGATAGTGACATGTTTTCTGCACATTGAAGAACCATTGCAACAGCTCTTTGAGGTGTCCATAACTGGCCTTTTGCAAGGCAAAATTTCTGTCCCCATCCAACATATGTGGGTTTATTTAAGTGGCAGTCAAGTCTTCAGCCCTTTATCCCAGTCGTCATACCTTGTAAAACCTCACTTATGTATTTATTGTTAATAGTTTCTTGTCCTGAATATGCATGAAATAATTGCCACAAGCAACAGTCTTCTTAAATATAAAACTTCAGACCAATAGTGTTTGCCATCACCACCAATTAATTAGCAATTCTATGTCTTGAATTCTAAGACATTTGACAACAGGGAAAAAGAAATTATAGAAAAAGAGATCTTACCTCTTTGGCAGAATGTCTAACATTACACCGTTTACAAAATCTGGCACTATACCATGGTCGCTCTATAAATACTCTCCTGTGTTTTCCTCCACAATTATCACAACGCATCATATTGGCAGCCTTAAATAAAAACTTTCTACTTTTAAAACTTGTAAATATAATAGCTTGGTAAATTATACTTCATTGTTTAGCTTTTTTGTTCCAAGTTATTATTAAGGTAAAAAAAGAACTGAGTCTATAAATGATCCGTTAAAAATCAATTGTCCTGAACCTTAACTAGCAGTCATATCAAGACAGATGGACAAGGATAAATCTATATAACATTCAGTTTGTAGGTACAGTACATTTATTATAATGAAATATTTTAAGTAATATAAGTAATGAAACATTCTTACCTCTTGCATTTTGTCTTGCAGTTTGGTCAACAGATCATTAAATTCCTTCTGAAAAAAATAAACAATGCTCATTATAACTAAATGTTGTAGTCACATGTCAAGACATTATATCATACAAAAGTTTTCTGGAAATAACTTTGTTATAGTCATAAGTTTTCAAACTACAAATAATCAATTGTTTATAAGATGTTGAAAATTTCACAAGATCACCTTGTAGTACAATTTCATAGAGATCCATACACTTATACACAAGTTATTGTCCTGAAACACCTAAACAGTTAGGACAATAACCCCCCTAATCAATCCCAACCTTCCTTTTGTGTTATGGAACCTTGTGGTACAATTTCATAGAAACACTTATACTCAAGTTATTGTCTGGAAACCAAATGTCTTTGGACGATGACAAGATACCATTATATATCGCAAATTTTGCGGTCCTATAAAAATCAGTCTTTTGTGAAGATGGGCAGATCACAAGAGTGTGCATAAATAATTAAGATCTCTGTTCTCAAAATAATTAAACTGACTAATCATACATTTCATCTCTATTGACAACAAAGCAATCAGTGACATGTTCAATAAATAAATATGCCCCCGCTTGCATATAACGTTAAAAAGGGATATAACTTCAGAATGGTAAAAGTGACGCCACCCAAATTCAAATTTGATCTGAGTTTTGTGGTAATAAGCATGCATTGTGTATAAGTTTCATAACATTTTGTTGAGGCAAACTAAAGTTAGAGAACGGAAACCAATTTCGGGACGTACGGATGGACAAGTGTATACCTTAATGCCCCCTCAACTAAGGTGGGAGCATAAAAATGTTATGGTATTAGCGACAATCTATTGAGTGTTGTCATAACCCAAACATTACATGTATTTTAGTTTGTAGCACTTATATTTATTTGTTATCGATTATCTGTCAGTCAATCAAGTTTATATTTTTTACATCTTTAAAAATCAATACAGTGATTTTTCCGCATGTATTTTCCCATTCAGTGAAAACTATACAAAGTGAAAATTTAACCTGCCCATTTTGTAATCAAACCAGATATACATCATTCATCATAATTAAAGAAATTTAAGGTTGATGACTTCACTCACCATAGCAGCTTCAGCTTCATCTGCCTGTCTGAATTCTGTGTCATACTTTATTCTAAGATCCTACAACAAATTAAAGTCATTGTCATTTATTTTTAACTGAAATTCAAAAAAAAATTGCATTAAAAATTTGTGTGAAAAAAACGTTTAACTGTACAAGAATGTGATAGTAACATGTATGTGAGATTTTTTTTTTAGAAATATTGGGGTAGGTGAGCAATTATTTTAATGCATTGCTGAGGAAAATGGCAAAAAAACTTACAAAATATTAAGGAAGCCAGACATGTTTTTATCAGGTAGGGACTAAACTTAATGGTTACCAAATAACCTTTTCAAATGACTCTACAATAACAATATGTAAAGAAATTTTCACTTTCATTTTCATAATAGCAATTTAGTGGAATTAAAAGTTTTATAGGATTGTAAGTATGCTTTATTTCAATTTTATCACTGTGCATTTACTTGGCTTAAACGGTTTTCTACAACAAAATTTCAGACCAGTTGAACAGTTTGGTTTGATAAAACAAACTGCAATTTGGTCAGAATTTTGAATGAACTGCAATAGGTGGAGAGCAACACTTACAGTCAAGTCAAAGTAACAAGGAACGTCACCAGACTGGACAGAACATAATGGAAGAAAAGAACCATTTACATATTTTACTAAATTATACATGATTTTTATTATCGTAAATAAAAGCGACATTTAAAAATTTAAAACCATCAAAGAGGAATGTAACATAATCATAAATAAATGGAAAATGTGTCCCCATGGACACAGATGATGCCCCCACGTGCATACAACATTATAAGGGGACATAACTCAAAAACAATAAAAGTGGCGCTACCCAAATTTGTACTAGATCTGAGTTTTGTGGTAATAAGTATTGTGTATAGGTTTCATAATGTTTGGTTGGGGCAAACTTAAGTTACAGAACGGAAACTAAAAATTTTGCAATTTTTTGATTTATAAAGGGGCATAACTCGATAATGGTTAAAGTGACGCCACCAAAATTTAACTTGATCTGTGTTTTGTGGTAATGAGCATTGTGTATAAGTTTCATACCATTTGGTTGAGGCTACTTAAGTCAGAGAACGGAAACTAAAAATTTTGTGCATTTTTTTTTCCCATTTATAAAGGGGCATAACTCGAGTTTGGTTAAAGTGACCCCACCAAAATTCAATCTTGATTTGTGTTTTGTCGTAATAAGCATTGTGTATAAGTTTCATAACATTTGGTAGAGGCAAACTTAAGAGAACAGAAACTAAAAATTTTGTAATTTTTTATTTTTAAAGGGGCATAACTCTAGAACGGTTAAAGTGACGCCACCAAAATTCAAACTTGATCTGTATTTTGTGGTAATAAGCATTGTGTATAAGTTTCATAACATTTGGTTTAAGCAAACTCAAGTTAGAGAACGGAAACCAATTTTGGGACATACGTTCATACAGATGGACAAGGGTGAATTTGAATGCCCCCTCCGCTACGGCAGGGGCATAATAAAATAAAATGTAGCATAATATCATTAATTTAAATAAATCTTGTATGTTATAATACAATAATTTTTAATACATATGTAACTTACAGTAGATCCTATTAATTTGAAAGCCCGTCCTAATATCTTAAAAGCTTCTTCTGCACCAGGCTGTTTGTTCTGAAATAAATTTTATAAAAGAATACAGTAGCGGTATTTTCATTTGAAAAATACAGTATTTTATGTCACCACCATCTGTAACCATATGCATTACATAAATTTGATAAGATCTAAAAAGACAGATTCTTGTAAGATTAAAAAATAAACAAACACAGAATAAACTAGTTACTGAACTGAACTTATGTTGTTGATGTTTGACATCAGAATGGATGCTATGCATAAAAGATAATCACGTGACTCAACCTACAACTGAATTTTTATCTTATTATTTCAGTACATTGTACCTGATGAAAAACTTCAAATGTCAAAACATTTTGAACAGTTAAGAGCAAGGAATCAGGCCTTGTACTCAGTGGACATAAAATTGAGAATGGAAATGGGGAATATGTCAAAGAGACAACAACCCGACCAAAGAGCAGATAACAGCCGAAGTCCACCAACAGGTCCACAACGCAGCGAGAAAATCCCGCACCCTGAAGCCAGAACCTTTTATAGCTTACTAGAGGGTATGAATATTGCTCATTGCTGAGGGTCATATGGTGACCGATAGTTAGCCGCTATATATCAGAAAAGCATCCATGTCTTACATTGAAAAAAAAAATTGACCCTTAATAAACATATTCGGCCACTTAAAAGGGTATAAATAATTCATCAAATATCTGTATCAAAACAAATTATTATTTTTGTAATGCTCTGGTAACATTTTGTTTTAGTGTTCCTGGATTTTGTTGTGCATTATTATGTTTTACTGTGACTTACTTTATCTGGATGAACCAAAATAGCTTGTTTTCTGTAATATTTCCTGATGTCATCATCACAACAATCATACCGTAAGCCTAAAATACTGCAAACGATAAAAAAAATGTTAAAACAGGACAGATGCTTATTATGCTGCAAAACATTTCAAAGTTAATATGTTGAAACAGAATTTACATGAAGTTTACATAAGTGATCTTCTTTTGGACAATGTCCTTTATTTTACTCGATCGCAAATACATTCTAAACTATATTCTTATATGTAATTTTTGTCAGAACACCAACGGTCTAATCTATATAAAAAACGAGAAACGATAAACACTTATGAACCACATCAACAAACGACAACCACTGAACAACAGGTTCCTGACTTAGGACAGGTGCAAACAAATGCAGTGGGTTTAAACGTTTTAACAGGCACCAACCTTCACCCTAACCTGAAACAATAGTGTAACATCACAACATAGAAAGACACAATACTATGATTCTAAGAGACCAAATATAGTTGATCTACTATATGGGTTAGGTGTTTCCTGTCAAAGAGGTCAAAGTTTGTTTAAGTATCTACATTGTACTTAAAATAGTATTAGTTTGTTTTTTTTAAATCGAATTCAATAAATAATTTGAACTCTTATTACTAAGGCCTTCATTAATTTTTACAGATTGTGGTCATTTAAGTCTATTTTTTTAAAGAACAAATCACATAGATTCTACTGTTAAGGCAAAATACTTGTCTAGTTGTGAAGATCATTAATCATTTTTTTAGGCAAATTGAGACACTTTCTGTAAGGTTATAAGTCAATAGCTATAGGTAAATTAATTAAATAACTCACCTGTAAGGGTCTTTTCCTTTACAAGCTAGAAGTCGCTGCATGGCTTCTGAACCTAAATATTAATGTTAAACTCACAATATAGCTTGAGGTAAAATATTCAGATTCTGTCTTGAAAAAACTAGCAACAGAAAAGGCAAACATACAATGTTTAATATTTAAATAGTATTTCTTGTAATTAATGTTTTTTTTTAAATTATACTTAGTTTTGTGCATTCTCGTACTCTGTCTGTCAAATTTCAATACTCCATACAAGCAAAAGAGTTCATCAACATAAATTGTCTTTTAATTTCATATTTCTTAAATTGTCTTTTAATTTCATATTTCTTAAATTGTCTTTTAATTTCATATTTCTTAATAAATATCCCCTGACTAGGTATTGCCTCTGAACATTGAGCAAACTATCTATTTTGTCCAAAAATGGTCAAATGGAGAAACCTTACCTGTTGAGGGTAAAGCTATATTTTCATCTACTCCAAGTTTTCTCCTTTCCAATTCAGATTGTTTAAAAAACCTTTTGAAATATTTGTTCAGTATTCTTGTCTTAACAAAATGTGATACTTTTCCCCAAGTCCATATCACATAAAGCACTATATTACTGACTCTGTAAATGGAAAAAAATATGTAGGCTTTAGCTCAACAAAATTTCTAATTTTCTAATTTAAATAAAAAATTAGATCAGCAAGTAATTATGTCTATACAAAATGTAAGAGTAAAATACTATTCTTTTTAAGAATTTAATGAACTTATGCTAATAAAATTTAAATTATAAATAGAAGCTGTTGTTACTTAATTCATGTAATTAAAGGTTTCTTAAAATTTAATTCAAATTTAAGGGTCTACCCAAGTTGATAACTTTATTGCTGCTAGGTTAACAGTAAACATGTGCCTGGTAAAGAATGTCTACATTATTGTAATACCTTTTAAAAGTTTTATAATGGTTGCAAAAGCCAGTTACCTGACCAATGCATACTGATATATGAACATAATTTATATTAAGTTCTCTCAGGTTGTTACAAACAAATTATGACAGCTGTTGCAGTCGTAAATCTGTCATAAACATATAACCAGATTAAATTCCAATATTTTTTTTTTACTTTTTACAATTTTTAAGTGACGAATTGATCTAAAAACAAAGAGTGCACACGCTGAAATGTCTCACCTGTTTTACTTATCATTGAAATCATGTTGAAAGTCTGTAATATGAAGGTTTAACATTATCAATAATCTATGAAAATGCGGTCACGGTCAGATGAACCATGCCAGACAGACATGTACACCTTGCAATCATTTCATACACTAAATATAGTGGTCCTATATTTCTAATAGTACCTGAGAAACAGATCAAACCACAAAATCTTAACATTGACCAATGAAACATAAAAATGAGGTCACAGTCAGATGAACCATGCCAGACAGACATGTACACCTTGCAATCATTTCATACACCAAATATAGTGGTCCTATTGCTAATAGTACCTGAGAAACAGATCAAACCACAAAATCTTAACATTGACCAATGAACCATAACTAGAGGCTCTCAAGAGCCTGTGTCGCTCACCTGACTCTACTTTGGTTTTAGAAATCATGTAAAGATAGATAAAAATCATAACAGATACCCAAATAATGATTGAGGCCAAATTTGGTTTAATATTGGTCCCGTTATGTAATAAAATATCCTGGTGGCCATCTTGAACAGTAAATTGGCAACAAAGTAGCAACACTTGGTCAGCACCTAATAAGGAACATTCATGCCAAGTTTGGTTTCATTCCATTCAGTGGTACTCTAAAAGAAGACATTTGTATGTATTTCCCATAGGGTCCTATATTAAACTAAGTCCCCCCCCTGGCGGCCATCTTGGATGATGGACTGACTGCAAAGTAACAACACTTGGTCAGCACCTCATAAGGAACATTCATGCCATGTTTGGTTTCATTCAATTCAGTGGTTCTCTAAAAGAAGACATTTGTATGTATTTCCCATAGGGTCCTATGTTAAACTAAGTCCCCCGCTAGCAGCCATCTTGGATGATGGATTGACTGCAAAGTAACAACACTTGATCAGCACCTCATAAGGAACATTCATGCCATGTTTGGTTCCATTTCATTTAGTGGTTCTCTAAAAGAAGACATTTGTATGTATTTCCCATAGGGTCCTATGTTAAACTAAGTCCCCTGCTAGCAGCCATCTTGGATGATGGACCGACTGCAAAGTAACAACACTTGGTCAGCACCTCATAAGGAACATTCATGCCATGTTTGGTTTCATTCAATTCAGTGGTTCTCTAAAAGAAGACATTTGTATGTATTTCCCATAGGGTCCTATGTTAAACTAAGTCCCCCGCTAGCAGCCATCTTGGACGATGGATTGACTGCAAAGTAACAACACTTGATCAGCACCTCATAAGGAACATTCATGCCATGTTTGGTTCCATTTCATTTAGTGGTTCTCTAAAAGAAGACAATTGTATGTATTTCCCATAGGGTCCTATGTTAAACTAAGTCCCCTGCTGGCAGCCATCTTGGATGATGGACCGACTGCAAAGTAACAACACTTGGTCAGCACCTCATAAGGAACATTCATGCCATGTTTTGTTTCATTCCATTCAGTGGTTCTCTAAAAGAAGACATTTGTATGTATTTCCCATAGGGTCCTACGTTAAACTAAGTCCCCCGCTGGCGGCCATCTTGGATGATGGATCGGCTACAAAGTAACAACACTTGGTCAGCACCTCATAAGGAACATTCATGCCATGTTTGGTTTCATTCCATTCAGTGGTTCTCTAGAAGAAGTTCAAAATGTAAAAAGTTAAAGACGACGACGACGGACGCCAAGTGATGAGAAAAGCTCACTTGGCCCTATGGGCCAGGTGAGCTAAAAATGAGGTAACGGTCATATGAACCCTGACAGACAGACATGTACACCTTACAATCATTCCATACACCAAATCTAGTTGACCTATTGCTTTAATATAGTATCTGATAAACTGACAAAATTGTGAAAAACTTATCATTGACCAATGAACCATGACAAGGAGGTCAAGGTCATGTGAACCCTGCCAGACAGACATATACAACTCACAATTGTTCCATACACTAAATAGGTTTGACCTATTGCTTATAATATGAGAAATAGACCAAACCACAAAAACTAATAAAATGCTCCGCAGGGCGCAGCTTGATACGACCGCAGAGGTCGAACCCTGAACAGTTGGGGCAAGTATGGACACAACATTCAAGCTTGATACAGCTTTGCATTTGGATTGTGATTAAATATTTGACACAGCATAGGTTTCTGACACAGAATGAATGTGGTCTAAGAACTTAAAAATTTTAAATTGGACATTCACCTATTATGGTCCAATATCCAAAATCTAAATACATGGTTAGATTCAGCATATCAAAGGACCCCAAGAATTCAATTTTTGATGAAATTAAACAAAGTTTAATTTTGGACCCTTTTGACCACAATGTGGACAAAGTTGATAACGGGGCCCAAAAATCAAAAATCTAAATACATGGTTAGATTCAGCATATCAAAGAACCCCATATATTCAATTTTTGTGGAAATCAAACAAAGTTTAATTTTGGACCCCGATTTGGACCAACTTGAAAACTGGGCCCATAATCAACAAGAGGCTGTCAGAGTGACAGCAAACCGGATTTTCCTGCAGAGGTCAAACCCTGAACAGTTGAGCAAGTATGGACACTACATTTAAGCTTAAAACAGCTCTGAATTTGGATTGTGATTGAATATTAGACACAGCATAGGTTTGTGACACAAAATGAATGTGGTTTAAGAACTGAAATACTTGAAATTGGACATTTAAATACCTATTATGGTCCAATATCAACAAGTCAAAATCGTGATTATTGAACTTGACCTCCATTTTGTTGTCAGTAACAACATATTAAAATTTAAAAAGGTTTGGTTGAACAGTTCATGAGTAAATGCACGGACACGACATTTTTTAAACTTTCAAGAACCGTAACTCCTGAACGGTAAAAGTCAAAATCGTCATTATTGAACTTGACCTCGATTTGTTGACAGTAACAACATATTAAAATTTAAAAAGGTTTGGTTGAACAGTTCATGAGTAAATGCACGGACACAACATTTTTTAAACTTTCAAGAACCGTAACTCCTGAACGGTAAAAGTCAAAATCGTCATTATTAAACTTGACCTCCATTTTGTTGTCAGTAACAACATATTAAAATTTTAAAAGGTTTGGTTGAATGGTTCATGAGTAAATGCACGGACAACATTTGGTTGCCGCCTGCCCGCCTGCCCGACCGACCGACCACCCGACGTACATCCCCAAATCAATAACCGACATTTTTGACACAAAAATCCGGTTAAAAATTTAAATACATGTTTAGATTCAGCATATCAAAGAACCCTGAGAATTCAATTTTTGTTAAAATCAAACTGAGTTTAATTTTGGACCCTTTTGAACTTAATGTAGACCAATTTGAAAACGGAACCAAAAATTAAGAATCTAAATACACGGTTAGATTCGGCATATCAAAGAACCCCAATAATTCAATTTTTGATGAAATCAAACAAAGTTTAATTTTGGACCCTTTGGACCTCAATGTGGACCAATTTAAAAATGGGGCCCAAAATCCAAAAACTAAATACACGGTTAGATTCAGCATATTAAAGAACCCCAAGAATTCAAGAATAAAACCCCATTGAAATTGGTCAAGAAATAAGCAATTTATACGAAGTATCTCCTTTTGCACAATACTGTGCAATTAAATATTTCTTGCTATTGCGCAATACTGTACAATTGACAATTTCTTGCTATTGCGCAATATTGTGCTATTGGATATTTCTTGCTATTGCGCAATACTGTGCAATTGAAGATTTCTTGCTATTGCGCAATACTGTGCAATTGAAGATTTCTTGCTATTGTGCAATACTGTGCAATTTAAAAATTTCTTGCTATTGCACAATACTTATTATATAATAATTTACACATCCTGTTTAGTGTGTATCTCCTACCATATCATTATTATTTGCTTTTAAATATAAATCAGAAATAACCAACTTAAAATGGAAAATTTTAAAAGAAAAAAAAAAGGAAAAAAAAATCCCCCCCCCCCCCCAAATTTTAAATTTTTTGAACCCCCTTATGATTCATCACCTCCAAATTCAATCCCAGCCTTCCCTTTGTGGTATGGTACCTTGCAGTAAAATTTCAGAGAGATCCATACACTTGAACACAAGTTATTGGCTGGAAACTATAAAAATGTGTTTTTTGGCCCCTTTTTGGCCCCAAATTCCTAAACATTTAGGGCAATTACCCCCAAACTCAAACCCAGCTTTCCCTTTGTGATATGGAACCTTGTAGTACAATTTCAGAAAGATCCATACACTTACACACAAGTTATTGTCCTGAAATTAGAAAAATGCTTGTTTTTTCCCCCTTTTTGGCCCCTAATTCCTAAAATATTGAGGCAATTACCCCCATCATCAATCCCAGCCTTCCCTTTGTGGTATGGTACCTTGCAGTACAATTTCAGACAGATCCATACACTTACACACAAGTTATTGTCATGAAACTAGAAAAATGATTGTTTTTTGCCCCTTTTTTGGCCCCTAATTCCTAAAATTTTGAGGCAATTACCCCCAAAATCAATCCCAGTATTCCTTTTGTGATATGGAACCTTGTGGTACAATGTCAGAGAGATCCATACACTAACACACAAGTTATGTCTGGAAGTTACAAAAATGCTTATTTTTGGCCCCTAATTCCTTTACTGTTGGTACCATAACCCCCAAAATCAATCCCAACCTTCCTTTTGTGGTAAAATTTCATAGAGATCCATTCACTTAAACTAAAGTTAGAGTGCAAAAACCAATGTGTCTTTGGACGACGACGACGCCAACGTCATACCAATATAGACCACAAAAATTTTTTTGCGGTCGTATAAAAATTGGCTTATCTTTATTATCATATGACAGGACTCTGCTAGCTTAATCAAGATGAATTAAGCAAGGGTTCTTAAAATAGTAAAATTTAGTTTGAAAATCATGCATCCAGGAGGCGTGTACTTGCCTTTACGAAAACCATGAATCTGTACATACATGCCATTAGTCTAAATAGTACTTTAATATAGGTATGCTATTAGCTAAAAATAAGTACTTACAGTTATGCTACAAGTCCAAACAGAACTACTTAATGTATGCTTTAAGTCACATATACATGTAAGTACCTACCAGTATACGAGTCCAAATACATGAAATAGAAGTACTTACAGGTATGCTAAAAGTCCAAAAAGAACTGTTTAAAGTGTGCTTTAAATCAACTGTAAGTAACTACAGGTATACTATGAGCCCAAATAGAAGACCTTACAGGTACGTTATGAGTCACAATAGAAGTACAATGTAGATGTACCTACAGGTATGCTGGAAGTCCAAATAACAAAAGTACTAACAGTTATGTTTTGCATCACAATAGAAATACTGTTTTACATGTGCCTACAGGTATGATACCTGTCCAAACAACAAAAGTACTTACAGGTATGCTATTAGTCCAAAAAGAAGTAACAACACTGTTATAAAGCCTGACCAAATGAAAGACACAAAAGCTTTGGACTTCTCAAACAGAAAGTTGATCCATTCATCTGAAAAGGAAAAAATCAGTGTTAACTTAAATTTCATCAATATTGATTTACATGTACGTTAAAATGTTATCACTGAAAAAACCACAACTATGATATTATATAATATGTTGCATTACTTTCCTCATGCAAGCCAAATATTTATTTTTTTTATTGTTAGGTTTACTAAAAAAAATTATTGAATTCAATGTTAAATGTACCTCAAAATAAAAATGGAGTTCCAACTGCCCTCTGGTATTTTTTTCTTAACCAGTCCAAAAGATGTTCTTGGCCAAGTTTGATTGCAATCAGCTCATAATTTCAGAGTGGATGACAGGGTTGAAGCTAGGACTTTGAGGGCTTTAGTCACTTTAGTGTAATAAGAAAACCTACCTTTCTTGGGTACCTGCTTAACATGATATGACTAAAGGCAGCTACAAAATGTGTTGTATGGGCTTAAATTCATGTATATAAACAATAAATATGTACTTTCATTTTCTTTTTCAGCATTTCACTAGTATGCAAATAAATTTTTTACACATATTAAAGAAAGATAAAAAACATTTAATAAAAAGCTGATATGCTTCTGGATGTGATACATGTAATGAAGAAAATGTGTAAAAAAAATTCACTATAGAAGACTATCAATGGCCCTCATTAAGTATTTTAATATAAACTGTTAACACAGAGATAGGTCTCACCTTTTTGTACTTTTGATAATGCAAATGTTGAAATTAAAATAGCAATACTTTAAAGGGGCACTAGCTGTCAAATTCATGTTCACCGATTTGACTCAAATTCTCATATTTGATTTATAACAATGTAAAAAATTTATCCAAACTATTAAAAGTCTAAAATAAACAGTTAACAGGACATGGGCATGGGCATGATAACACGTAGCTTCATTTCGTGTGTATTTTAGTCTAGACACCATCTAATTTACTATCGAGTTGACCTCCAAAGTCATCCGATGACCATATAAGCGATGTAAACATAAAGATATAAATAGATTAAGTGAACTCGTGCTATTGGATTTTTCTAGGTCTGTTTAATTTCATATTATAGATTAAAAATATATGTTTATCATCGTTTTTACCTGTATAAGAATGATTTTTTGTGGATTGGATCAGTCAATCAAATGATTTACCTTTGTTTCACTTTCAATGTTGACATTCTTTTCCTTTAAATAACTTTACACATACAATTCATATGTTATCCATCTCTAGCTAAGGGGTTAAATTGAAGTTCACATGAATACGGATTCAATGAGGTTGAATTATTCACTTGCAAGAGAATAATTCATCATCAATGTTTCTTAGCTTATTTTGACAAAATTGAACCATACTGGCGGCTAAAAGCGAATAATTATTTCACTAATTCACTTTCATTAATGATTGAACAAAAAAAAAATCATATATTAGATTTTTTATATATCTCGTAGCTAGTGCCCCTTTAACATGTAAGTTATGCAAATATTCAAAGTCAATGAACCATGACTGAAGGTACATGGCAAAACAATCTCCATGGAAATGAGATGTGCCAATGCTAATACAACTGCATACCAAATACCATAGACTTATCATAAGTCGTTCTCTGTCAACAAACCTAAACACACATTGACTTGTAAACTATGTACAAGAATTTAAGTAATACAACATTTTGTAATGAGTTTATTACTCTAAACTCTTGGAATTATTTTTTTTTTACTTTTACAAATTCAAGAATGGAATAGATAAGAAATGCTTTTGCCATTTTAAAAAATTGTTTCATAAATGGCAAAATTTATACAAGCACTGACGAAAAACACTGCTAAGAATGATGTTCCCCTATTTCATGTATATATACATTCTATCAAAAATAATTAGTATGAATTCATACATTACTTTTCCAAAAATAAATACTGTGACTTAATTTTTTCAAATTAAATCTTGAGTGTTTACATATTTGATTTATGTTAAGCAAAATTCAAGAAAATTCTATTTCATATTCATTTAAGATTTTATTTACCTATATACTCTTGGTCAAATGGAGACTGTAAAGGCAAATGTCCTTTGTTGTCTTTACTGCTTTCCTCTGATTTCGACTTCTTATCAATTTTACCATTCTGTACATAATTATCATGTTTCCTACTTTCACCATCTCTATTTTGAGCACTGTTTCTTTTGTAAGAATCACTTAGATCATTATTTATATAAATATTGTCTGTTGATTTTTTGTGAGCTGATGATGAAGCTTTGGATCCTACTTTTCCATTATTAAGAACAGTAACATTGTCATTAGAAGGCTTTCCTGATGTGGATTTTTTGGAAGTCTTTGATTGAAATATTCTTCTTGCATCAAAAAAAGGTTTATTAGGGTGTAGTGTTTCTGTTTGTCTAGTAGGCAGTTTGAAGTCATCAATTGTGTCGGTTTTTGATGAATAACTCTGTGGGGCAGGTTTGGTCAAATGTATCTCCTCAATTCCACTTGTTCCACTACTAACACTACTTGTGCTCCCCTTTCTACTAAAAACACGTGGTATACTTTCTGTACTGTCACTGCGTTGGTCCTGACTAACAGCAAACTCTTCAAACTGATCCAGACCATACTTAGAATCTGGTGTAACATGGGATCCCATATCATCTGAATGTTTGTTATTTATATGACCTTTTGACCCTTGTCTTGTATAATATGGCTTTCTAATAGGCTTGAATGGCTTTGCAGATAGAAATGATGTGGAAGTTTTCTTTTTTGAGGAATCGGTCTCTTCCTTGTCCTTTGTTGCTTGCATAGGTTTTCTTTTTAATGTTTTTGCAACATCTGAATATGTCATTTTATTACTAGACTGTTGGTCTCCAGAACTAAAGGTACTAGGTACATCACCATTAGAATTAGGAATGACTGTAGGAGATCCAAAGGGGTCATAACTTTGAGAAAATGAATTCCAATTATTATATGCGTCTGCATAAATGTCTCTTCCATCATTGCTTGCATCAGACATGCTTAAATTTCTGTGTGGTGATGGATCTGTTGCACGTAAATCATGTTCAAAAGATGCTGAGTTGGGATTGACAGACAGTAAATTTTGAATGTTTGTTAATAGATCTTTGTTTATCTGTGTACTGTCTATTGCTGGGTCATATGTTGATGGACTACTTGGAGGGGTAAAGGCATCCCAGTTGAACATTCCAGCTTGCTCATTAACATTTTGATTAGGTATAGGCATTCCACTAAACTGTGTCCAAGTACTGTACATTGGAGCTGTTTGACCTCCAAGGTCAAATCCTCCAGATACTGGTGGCAGGTCATCTGTTTTTACCTTCCTGGCCTCTGCCATCATTCATCTACAACCTATAAATAAGAAATAAAATAAAATAAAAATATTAACGTCTAATTAAATATTATAAAACATTATTAACGGAAATAGCCTTAACTAAAAGAAAAACACAAGCAGTCCAATCAAAATGTGCTTAACCTCTGGATATGTCCTTTCCCAAAAGAATATCATCATAGTCTGTTTATATGAAATTTACTAAAACTTGGGTCATGTAAAACACAGTTTTCAAGACACTCAAATGTTTATGATTGTGATCAAAAAGATTTTTGTCTTGAAAATGGTTCCTAAGCACCGTAAAAATGATGACCATTTTATATTGGCAAGGTTAACGCGTTGTTAACAGCTTTTAAATGGAAATGTTACAAGAAGACCATCCTGGGGATTCATTATAAACATGTTCAGCTTTAATCTTCCTACGAATTTTAAAGATGAAACCACTTCTGTGTGTAAATTTCATGCAGATTGAGCCGAGTTTAAACACAAGAATCAGGATACTTCTTATTTTTGGACATGATAAAAAAAAAAAAGGAATTTAGACATGTTAAATGTGCCTTGGATTCCCCATGTCACAAAATTATATATCATGTATGATATTCAAGCTGTAGACCCATGGACTCCCTTTCCCTATTGTAACACATCCTTTGATTAATGTGGAAGCAAGTTTACCAACTACTGTCACAGACTCAAGCTTCTTTTATGGCTGGTAATTTCTATTAATGCAGGATATTTTAGTTTGTTACCAGAGGCGGATTTAGAGGGTTTTTCAGGGGGCCCGGGCCCCCCCTTTTTGTGGCAAAAATTTGGTTGATTATATAGGGAATCACTGAAGCATGACTGGAGCGGGCCCCCACTTATGAAAATTTCTGGATCCGCCACTGGTTACCAGTCATTGTAAGGATTGATGATAAAACTCAGTTATGTATATATAGAAAGGAAACCCATAGCATTCAAAGTGTCAGAGCAAAGTCTCAAGAAGCTATATTTGTACCTTATGTTAACATTATATTTTTCTTTCTGGAGCGATGGTTCAGATATAAAGAAAATTTTACTCTTTCATTTAAATTAATATGGATACTGATTTTGTGTAAAATCCCAACCCACCCCCCAAAAGTATTTAAGTAAAACTTTGTTATTACAAAAAATCAAAATCAATTTTACAAGGAAGTCTTGTGAACATGAACAGATGGGGTTTTCCCCCATGAACTCTTTCCAAAACCAAATAGCAGGCCTTAATTGCCTTTATTCCTGTTGTAACAGGTAAGTGCACAACCACACCTCCATTTCTCTTCGTACTTTTCAATACTAAACAGCTACTTTTAAATCTAATAAAAATAATGAAAGCTTTTTGCTTCATAAAGCATATTTTTTAAATCAGCACCCAAGGCCAAAATAATAATAAAATGCTTTGCTGAGCGCAGCCTGATACGACCGCAGAGGTCGAACCCTGAACAGTTGGGCAAGTTTGGACACAATATTCAAGCTTGATACTGTCTGAATTTGGATTGTGATCAAATTTTTGACATAATATAGGTTTCTGACACAAAATAAATGTGGTCAAAGATCTTAATAAAATGCTCCGTTGGGCGCAGCTTGATACGACCGAAGAGGTCGAACCCTGAACAGTTGGGGCAAGTATGGACACAACATTCAAGCTTGATACAGCTCTGAATTTGGATTGTGATTAAATATTTGACACAGCATAGGTTTCTGACACAGAATGAATGTGGTCTAAGAACTTAAATTTTTTTAATTTACCTATTCAAACCATATTATTATTTGCTTTTATATATAAATCAGAAAAAAACAACTTAAAATGGAAAATTTAAAAGAAAAATAAATGTGGATAGTGTCCACATGTGGACACAGATGATGCCCCCACTTGCATATCATATAGTTATAAAGGGACATAACTGAAGAACGGTAAAAGTGACGCTACCCAAATTTGAACTTGATCTGAGTTTTGTGGTAATAAGCATTGTGTGTAAGTCTCATAACATTTGGTTTAGGCTAACTTAAGTAGAGAACAGAGAAACTAAAAATTCAGCAATTTTTCTATTTGTAAACACGCATAACTCTAGAACAGTTGTGTATAAGTTTTATAACATTTGGTTGAAACAAACTAAAAAATTCAGCAATTTTTATGTTTATAAAGGGACATAACTCAAGAATGGTAAAAGTATCGCCACCTTATTTCGTACTTAATCTGTATTATGTAGTAATAAGCATTGTGTATAAGTTTCATAACATTTGGTTGAGGCAAACTAAAGTTAGAAAACGGAAACAAAAAATTTGTACTTGATCTTAGTTTTGTGGTAATGAATATTGTGTATAGGTTTCATAATGTTTGGTTGGGGCAAACTTAAGTTACAGAATGGAAACTAAAAATTTTGCAATCTTTCGATTTATAAAGGGCCATAACTCAATAATGGTTAAAGTGACACTACCCAAATTCAACTTGATCTGTGTTTTATCAGAGGAAGTCAAAATTAAACATTGCATTGTATAAAGCATTGATTGTAGTTGATTCAACTATAATCATGGACAAAGGAAGATAACTCCAATTTTAATATAAATTACTTGATATTTACAAGAAAATAAAAATTTAGCAATTTTTTCATTTATAAAGGGACATAACTCTAGAATGGTTAAAGTGACTCCACCAAAATTCAAACTTGATCTGTGTTTTGTGGTAATAAGCATTGTGTAAACGTTTCATAACATTTGGTTGAGGCAAACTTAAGTTAGAGAACGGAAACTAAAATTTTTGCAATTTTTCCATTAATAAAGGAGCATAACTCTAGAACGGTAAAAGTGACACCACCAAAATTCAAACTTGATCTGTGTTTTGTGGTAATAAGCACTGTGTATAAGTTTCATAACATTTAGTTGAGGCAAACTTAAATTAAAGAACGGAAACTAAAAATTTTCCAATTTTTCCATTTATAAAGGGGCATAACTCTAGAACGGTTACAGTGAAGGCACCAAAATTCAAACTTGATCTGTGTTTTGGGGTAATAAGCATTGTGTATAAGTTTCATAACATTTGGTTGAGGCAAACTCAAGTTAGAGAACGGAAACCAATTTTGGGACGTACGGACGGACGTACGTACGTACATACAGACAGACAAGGGTAAAACTTAATGCCCCCACCGCTATGGCGGGGGCATAAAAAAGGAAAAAAAGGAAAGGGGGGGGGGGGGGGGGGGGGGGGAAATCCCCCGCCCCCCAAATTTTTTTGAACCCCCTTATGATTCATCACCCCCAAACTCAATCCCAGCCTTCCATTTATAGTATGGTACCTTGCAGTACAATTTCAGAGAGATCTATACACTTGAACACAAGTTATTGTCTGGAAACTAGAAAAATGCTTGTTTTTTGGTCCCAAATTCCTAAACATTTAGAGCAATTACCCCCAAACTCAAACCCAGCTTTCCCTTTGTGATATGGAACCTAGTCGTACAATTTCATAAAGATCCATACACTTACACACAAGTTATTGTCCTGAAACTAGAAAAATGCTTGTTTTTTGCCCCTTTTTGGCCCTTAATTCCTAAAAATTGAGGCAATTACCCCAAAAATCAATCCCAGCCTTCCCTTTGTGGTATGGTACCTTGCAGTACAATTTCAGAGAGATCCATACACTTGAACACAAGATATTGTCTGGAAACTAGAAAAATGCTTGTTTTTTGGCCCCTTATTCCTAAACGTTTTGGGCAATTACCCCCAAACTCAATTCCAGCTTTCCCTTTGTGATATGGAACCTTGTAGTACAATTTCAGAAAGATCCATATGGACACTTACATACAAGTTATTATCATGACACTAGAAAAATGCTTGTTTTTTGCCCCTTTTTTTGCCCCTAATTCCTAAAATTTGGAGGCAATTACCCCAAAAATCAATCCCAGCATTCCCTTTGTGATATGGAACCTTGTGGTACAATGTCAGAGAGATCCATACACTAATACACAAGCTATTGTCTGGAAGTTACAAAAATGCTTATTTCTGGCCCCTTTTAGGCCCCTAATTCCTTAACTGTTGGTACCATAACCAGGGCTTCCAAAATTATTTTTAGCCAGCTGGACATTTTATATATTATCCCGATTTTAATCCTTTAAGACTATATAAACAAAAGGCAATTATGGTAATCAGTTGACGAGTTGGCCATCCCAATGATTGACATTTTTAAATCTAGTACCGGATGTTATCTTGACAATGGTAAAACATGGACCAGAGACGGATACGTAAATACCGTGTACGTTTGCAAAGCATGAATGAGTGTATAAAGTAGCTCTTTCTACGTTATTTCTTCAAGAAAGTATTCGAAATAAACGTGAGATAAAGGTATCAATAACAATTTAAGCATTTTTTGAAGAAATTAGGATGCATAATTAAATTTCACACCTGCGCCCATGCGCACACGTGTACTAGTTCAAACAGAGACATGTCTCTGGTGCAAACAACGTGGTTATGACGATTTTTCATTTTCACCTTTTTAATTTTTTCATCAAATCATATTTGTAAACGTATTTCTGATAATTTATATCTTTTTGACTAAATTAATTAGATGCAAACCGCTGAAATGTAAGAAAATAACTTTGAATAGACCGATCAATGTCCGGTTCAAAATAGTTTACCTGTCACCTGAACAGTTAAATTTCAGCTATTCGACAACTAATTAGCCTTGATTAAAATGAGAAGGTATTAAATTAGGGGTTGTTTTGATAGTACTTAATGATCATGTCACTTTTATGAATGGAAATGTGTGGCTGTTAAATGCAAAAGGTTGGGTCAAAAAGATCGTGAATTTTGTTAAAATGACCATCTCTTAAGAAAGCCTAGAAAACTAAAAAGTAGATGACCGTTTCATGCTTTGCCCAGCTGGACTTTTACCGGACATTATACAAATGTCTGGAATATATGACCGTTTTGGAAGCCTTGACCATAACCCCCAAAATCAATCCCAACCTTCCTTTTGTGGTATTGAACCTTATGGTAAAATTTCATAGAGATCCAT